ATACCCTCTGATTGGTTGATTTTGACAGTACTTTCAACACTCCGTCGGTTCATGGCGAGCGCGGTCTGGCCGAATTGTGTTTCATCTTGGACGACTGTCTGGAAGATTTCCCTGATATTCAAGCGCTACGGAAGGAGCAAGAAATCTGCCTAGTAAATCTAGCTCGTGGGTAAGACGTTTTCGCGATTCTCCCAACTGGTTTTGGAGAAATTTTAATTTTTCAGCTCTTTCCATGACTGGCTATGATGATATCGGAAATGTGAACGAAACCAAACAATAGCTAACAATAGCATATACAGCACCCAAAGAAATCAATAGACTTTTGCGTAAACAGCTGCATTTGAATCATGTGGAGCCAGAATGAACAAAGGACGAATACACCTACACATCGAGCTCGAGAGAAATAAGCAACCTGTCCAATTTTATTGCTTACATATAAGCGCCCTGCAGCCCATAGTGCCCGTCCGCGGAAAAGACCCGAATGGATAGTACTCGTCCATGAAAAATTTTCTGTAAACAAGCGGGTTTATAGAAAATAAAGAATTAACATTGAGTGGGTTTTTGTGGGTTTTCTTTTTCAAATGTTTCATCTGGCTGTCACAGCTTTCATCAGGAGCCATAATCGGGGACGGAGACCGTAAGTCTTGGGATCCGCGTGCACCCATGATGTGGGACAATTTTTCTATTTTTAGAACAAATTACGCCATCCTGACATCATAAATCCGCGCGGATCTACGCACATGTCGGGGGCTCTCGCGTGGATGTTGTCACGTCGCGTGATCAAATGGTGAGAGTTGCGAGATTCTCTTGCAGATTTTTCGCAGCAATGGCAGGGAATAAGGTATGGAAAACCAGGTATCGAGAACCAGGGCTCTTATACGTACTTTATATGACTTCGATTTTGCGCTGTGAATGAATAACATCTGCTCGCGCTAGTTGTACGCGTAAGCTTTTGTGCCTGTTCTGTAAAGAAAAGTTATGTAAGAAAACTCTTTACTCTGGTATCGAGTTAATTTGTGAGTTTCCCAAACAACGCTTAATCATAACCAAACCCTGTTTTGATAGTTTCTTATTGTTTCTGTTTGTTTGGCGAGTTTGCAAAAGTTTTTGAAAGGAAAGTCTGACGCGTACAAGTGTAGCTCATTTGCATAGTGCAGCGCGTGCACTTTCAAGTCCGAGTCGGTTTCCTCCGTAAGAAAAAAAGATGGCGATTGGTACATTTAACCATAGTTCTTAGCGCACGAAAACCTTAACAACGTTCATAAAACGTACAGAAGAGTTATAAAATCTTCAAACCTAGCATAAACAATGGACTTCGTACAGGGACAAATACTGTAAAAATTTGGCTTTCTTTGTGCCTTACAGGCTGTTTTATGTTCGCAAGGTATTGTGGTAAAATGTACAGCCGCCATCTTTTTTCCTACACATCTTGACTAAGATTTCTTTCGTTGTCTTTTGTGCCGAGATGCTGAAACAATTTGCACCAACGCCAAAAGGCTACTAACATCATGTTTGTCTCTTTAACAAAGTGAAATTTTACACTGCGAAAAACAAATAGATTCCATGTTGCCGTGCGTCTGTTCAGTAATAGATCACAGATGACGTCAAAATGTGGTAAGAACAAAAAAAGTGGCACACGAGGCGATAGCCGAGTGTGTCACTGATGTTCTTACCACATTTTGACGTCTTCTTTGATCTATTTCTGAACAGATGCACCGCAACATGGAATCTATTTGTTTTACATAATAACGAAACAAACTACTATAGATAAAGCTTTTTTTTACTTCAAAATCTTCCCACATAACTCGAAAGCCGGCCTTTGCCTCCTTTGGCGAACACGAAGAAAGCCATTTGACGTAATCTATTGTCTAAGCAAAATGAAGCAATCTCACTGGTTGCTATGTGCAGCAAAGAATTGTGATTGGTCCAGGAAAATCACGCCACTGTCAAACTTGACTCGAGCGTCGCTTCTCGAGCTCGCTTCTCGTGGAATGAAAACTTACAGCAAAAGCAGAATTGAACTTCGAAATCTACAAATCTTAAAGATAATGCTGAAAAGTCAAGTCGGTTTTTGTCATCAGAGCGGCCCTGTGAGCCGAAAAGCTTGGACGTTACCTTGAATATTGCAGGAGTTGAAATCAAGGGAGACCTATGGCCAAACTCGTGGATTAATCTAGAGATGAAACATGTTGGTGAACTTGCAATTATTGGTGTATTAAATAAGTAGCCTCTTTTGCAAACATTATCAGTGTTGATTCAAAAAATTCAAGCTCACAGGGGGTTTCTTTCCCTTTGTTACGTTTTCAATCAGGAAGCAAAAGTGTAAACAAAAGACAGGGTAAAAATCATTTAAGCTTATCAAAATCAAGT